CCGTTACCTGCTGACACTGCTGGACTCGCCCACGTGAAGTCCGAGCTGCAGAAGCGACACACGTGCACAGACCTGGGTGAACTGCGCAGCTACCTTGGCTTGCAGATCACCCGGGACAGAGCACGACGCACCATTACACTGTCTCAGTCACACATGGTGCAGCAGGTCCTTCAGCGTTTCGACTTCACGTACTCCTCGCCTCAGGCCACTCCTCTGTCTACTCGTCACTCGCTCTTAGCTCTGCCTTCGGATGAGTCCGTAGAGCCGAGTGGCCCGTACCCAGAGCTTGTTGGCTGCCTCATGTACCTGATGACATGCACACGACCTGACCTTGCATACCCTCTTAGCATCCTGGCACGCTATGTTGCTCCTGGGAGACACCGACCAGAGCACATGGCTGCAGCGAAAAGGGTGTTGCGCTACTTGTGCAGTACGTCAGGCATGGGGCTAGTGCTTGGAGGGCAGAGTCCAGTGGTCCTCACTGGTCACGCAGACGCTTCTTGGGTTGACGACCTGGCTACTCAGCGGTCGTCACAGGGTTACACTTTCAGCCTTGGTTCCGGCTCTGTTTCGTGGCGGTCTACCCGCTCGTCGTCTGTTCTCAGCTCTAGCTGTGAGGCTGAGATCTACGCAGGAGCCATGGCTGCACAGGAGTTACGCTGGCTTACCTACCTGCTGACTGACCTGGGAGAGCCGCCTCGTTCTCCTCCAGTTCTGTACGTAGACAACAAGGCAATGCTGGCCTTGTGTCGGGAGCACAGACTGGAGCACAGAACGAAGCACATTGCTCTCCGCTACTTTCTTGCACGTGAGTTGCAGCAGCGTGGTCAGCTGCGCCTTGCTTACGTGGCCACTCGGGCCAACACTGCTGATATCTTCACCAAGGCACTTCCGCCTGGTGATCATCAGCGCTTCTGTACGATGCTAGGTCTTGTGCCCACTTGGCCTCACTTGCTCACTTCTTGACCTTGCTTGTACTGCATTTTCTATATACATGCTCTTGCTTGTTTGTCTTTATATATAATCATGCATGTGAACTGGCCTTGTGGCCTTGACCTTGTACTCAGATTTGTGGTGACGTTGTGATCCACTCTGAGCTTGCTTGCTTGACTGGTCTTGTGGCCTCTAGGTCTTCCCCACTTTGCCTATGGGGGTGTGTCAAACATATGTTATATTGTTTATATCTAGGCTGTAGTGGGTTAGATACTAGAGGGTATAGGGTTGTTTCTTGTACGTCTCGAACTTCTCCTAGTGCAACTTTCCTCTCGACTCTCACACCGCGTTGTTAGAATAGTAGCTAGAGAGAGCCTTAGGGTTTGGTGGGAGAGAGTGTTGGCCAAACAAAGAAGGGGTTGTACTATGAGTGAAATACAAGATATAGTGGTAGGGATGGTGGTCAAGAGGGGTATACTGTGAAAAGAACTAGGCAAGAATGATTGAAAGGAGAGAGGTTTCACTAGCAGCAGTTGGGGTACATATAGCAAACCCTAACTGGGTTGTACTCGCTATAGAGCACCCCACTACAGGCTAGACAATAATAACATTCTGACACACCCCCATAGCCAAAGTGGGGTGTAATCAGTACAATGAGCAGGCATAGCAATAGTTCACAATTATAAGCAAAGCTAGAGGTGATCATAGAGGGCAAGTGAGGAGGAGGAGAAACTGTGAGGGCGAGAAGATGAAAGGCGCCGACTGAAGCTGCAGACACACGGGCAACAGGAGCGGCGCGCACAGTGGCTACCGAGCGCACGAGGGCACCGGACTACGGGAGTATCTGGCTCCGCGGCTACGACGAGCACACACAGGAGCAACGGACCCACAGGCGACTGGCGAAGCAGGCTCGCTGGGCTACCGAAACGCGCGAGGGCATCCGGACTACTGGCGCTGCTGGCGTCACGACGGCTACCTCCACGCAACCTCCCCCGACCGTCCCACGCCCCTCTCACACACCCCCTGCTGACACCCTAGCTCCACTTCCACGGCACCCCCCTTAAACCCTAAACCCTCGGCTCCCACACACCCACCCCCCTCAGCGGCAGCTGCAGCAGTGGGAGACGGAGGAGGAGCAAGAGCCGCAGGTTACCCACCCCCATGCCCGCCACCCCCAAACCCTAACGCAGGCAGGAGCGCGGGAAACAGCAGGGGCGGGGCACGGAGGGAAAGGGAGGCAGCGGGGTGGCTCTTGGGCGCCACGAAGAAGCAGGGCGCGGGCCCCCCGAGGGCGCCACGGCGGGTGACGGGAGGGGGGCCGCGCACGGGCCCCCGAGGGCGGCTCGACGGGCGACGGGAGGGGCCGCGCGCGGGCCCCCTAGGCGCCGCGACGAGGCGACGGGAGGGGGCGGCGCGCGGGCCCCCAAGGTGCCGCGACGAGGCGACGGGAGGGGGGGGACGCGCGGGCCCCCAGGGCGCCGCGACGAGGCGACGGGAGGAGGACGACGGGGGGCAGCGCGCAGGTCCCCGGGGGCGCCACGACGGGCAGGAAACCGCCGCGCGCCTCGGGGCGCACGGCGGGCAGAAAACCGCCGTACGCCCTGAGCGCACGGCGGGATGAAAAACCCTAAAAAATTTCGCCGCGCGCGGAGCGCGCGGCAGGAAGAAGACGGCGCGCGCCCGAGGCGTGCGAGAAGCAGAATAGCAGCGGAAGCAGTTAGGTGGCGGGCCCACCCACAGGATCGACCCAAGGGGGTCGACCTGCTCTGAATACCATGTGAAAAGAACTAGGCAAGAATGATTGAAAGGAGAGGGGTTTCACTAGCAGCAGTTGGGGTACATATAGCAAACCCTAACTAGGTTGTACTCGCTATAGAGCACCCCACTACAGGCTAGACAATAATAACATTCTGACATATACCACCAACAATAGAAACCTAAATGATACTACACTAGCTAAGTTACATGCAGTTACATTATAATATAAATATATTTTAACATCCCCCCTTAACTTCATGCAGCGAAAGCTAGTATAGAGGCGAGACGTAACCCAAGTGCAGACTTCACCGGGCCGCAGCTGGGCCCACCGATACAACACACGATGGAGTTTCCCGCCTGCGGTTTAACCCCCGCAGTGGATGCCCGGTGTGCGCGACAAGGGGCGAACACGCCCGGAAACGACGGAAACGACACGACAAGAAACGCGAAACGAGAAACAGAAAGAACCACTCTCTCTCTGTCTCACTCATTTTCCACCCCCTTCACCTCTCATCCCCCCACACTCTTCTCCTCCCTCCCTCCCCCCTGAACCTGTCTCCTCTCCCCCCCCCCCCCCCTACAGCAACACTTGCTGCAGGGAAAGAGGAAGAGGGAAGGGGGGGGAACGGGCGTGAGAAGCTGCCCGCTTTTGAGTCGACTCAAAAGTTTCCTCTGCTGTGAGCCCGCTTTTGAGTCGACTCAAAAGTTTCCTCTGCTGTGAGCCCGCTTTTGAGGCGACTCAAAAGTTTCCTCTGCTGTGAGCCCGCTTTTGAGTCGACTCAAAAGTTTCCTCTGCTGTGAGCCCGCTTTTGAGTCGACTCAAAAGTTTCCTCTGCTGTGAGCCCGCTTTTGAGTCGACTCAAAAGTTTCCTCTGCTGCGAGCCCGCTAGGCCGGGGCGAGCGGAGCAGAGTGCAGAGAAAGCAGCGCGGCACGCGGTGGCAGAGGGACGAGGACGAAGGCGGGGAGCGGAAAGGGCCGAAAGGGAGATTGAGGCGAGGTGGGGGCGAGTGGAGGAGCGGGGAAAAGGTGGGCAGTGAGGCCGTCGGGTTTCGCAGGAATGGAAGCAGGCGATGGCATGACAAGGCACAGCGGTTGGGAATGAGAAGGCAGGGAGAAGGAGCAGAAGGAGTCGGCTGGGGGTGGAGCCGAAGAACGACCCTTTCGCAGCTACGATGGAAGCGCGGCGCGGTAGCGAGGACTAACACCTAGTGATAAACAGATCCGCGCGTACGAATCTCAGAGCTTGAACTGCAGTGACTTTACGCAGGTTACTACATGGGCTGCGCACCGTGGTTTCAGCGGCGACCCACCAGGCTGCGCGGAGCGCAAGGCGCGCTCGAGATGCGCCATCCATCGCGCCGCCGCCGAGCCCTCGTGACCCGCCAATGGGTGCTTATCAACATCAGCTGCAGGTCTCGAGCAGAACGAATCGCGTTCTTTGCAGCACGAAATACTGTATTCGCGTTCGTGTAACTATACAAACGCGTTCGTTGCGATCTGCACGCGTGAGGGACTACGAAGAAGGCACACTTGCCGTGGACATCGTTTTGGCGAAGGCTTCGCGATTCGTCAAGGTGCAACCCCCGATTCTCATTCTTCCATCGTGTCCGCGTTATGCGTGTGCTCGGAATAAAGATTATCGAGGATGTGACAAAAATGAGGGCGTGGGCCTTATCCTGTATATTGAAGGGCGTGGAACATTGTACGTACCACACACCCCATCCGCTCGATGGTTTGATGGATTGGATCTGCAGGGAGAAAAAGAGTGATTGGGGGCGGTTTTTGCTCAGGAGCAATGGTGCGGAGTGGTCGAAAGCGGTATAAACAAAAATGACACGCCCCGACATGCTCAATCCACGTGTACACAAATATCAGCTGATTGTCTGTCAGACAATGCTGATGGTGGCGACTCAATGTGGCCGTCAGACAGCGTTGCAGTCTCACGTTCTCTCCTGCCACTGCCCAGATGTGTCAGCCACTGTCGCGTCGCGAACTTTTCGCGCGCATCGGTTCGCGCCCTTTCCAAAAATGTTCCACCAGCACAAATTCTCCCACCGCCACGCTGCCAGTCCAGCCAGCAGCACCACAAACTCCTCAAAACGAACCCCAATTTCACTACACAGTTTTACAAGCTCAACTCATGTCCACTTGGCACAGATCACTCACGGCACACCATTCATTGGCGATTCGAATTCTTCCCATTCCTCCTGATCTACGTGACAGAGTCAATTCTTTCTCTCTATTCTCACCATCAGCCCGTAACCGTCGCCTCAGCACAATCAGCTGTTACGACTTACGGTTTTTCACAATGGCGCACCATCGATCAGCACGACCAGGGCTGCCTTCGCTCGTGCAGAGGCTGTTTTTTCTGGCATGCGTGGCGCTCCTGCTCCCGCTGTCGCAAGGTGCGCATTTTTGTCGTACTTTGGTACCACGGTGCGTACTTCCTGGCGCATCGCTGTCGCACTGTTCTTATTGTCGCTTCATACGTCACGCACCACCCGCTGGAGCCACGGCATAGCGTCGCCGTCTCCTCTCACGTACATCGACTTCGTCAGTGTGCCTCCTCGGTGCTACGAATCGCTGACCTTATCGGATGCTTCGATTTTTTTTCTTCTTCTACTTCTTCTTCTTGTCTTGTTGCAATGTCGCAGGTAAATGGGTGAGCCACCTCTCGTCGTATCGAGCGTATGAGCGGCGGCTGGCATCGGCGGAAGGTCCAACAATCTTGACAGTAACAAGCGGCCCTTCAGAATCCGATAGGATTACTCCCAACGGCTTGACTCTCGAGGCCTCTGAAGCACTGGAGGAGCCCAGCCGGCCCGCATCTTCCCCTCTTCTGCGCGGATCCGCGCTGGCCGCCACGGCTTCCGCGGATCTCCTCTCTCGGGGGGCTCGAGAGGCAACGGAATTAACACTGGCCGCCGCGACTATGGCGGAAGCTCGGGAGGGGCGCGCGCTGTGGGCGGAAAGCGCGCGCAGCACAGGGGGGGAAGAAGGAGCGGAGGAGAGGGGGAGATGGGTCGGCATGTGAAGGGCAGCGCTAAGCGACGTGCGACGGCGGGCGAGCTCGGTGTGCCTCTGTTGCTTCCACGTCACTGCTTGCGGTCGGCGCTAGTAGCGGTCGGCGCTTGTAGCGGTCGATCATTGGGGCCAGACCACGCGGCGTGGAACGGGCGGCGGGGAACAGGCGGCGTGGAATAATCATTGTCGGAAGCAGCACCACTCTTAGGAGCTGCCGATTTGCGGTGTTGCTGGAATTTGTGGCGCTTTGCGTGCAGTACTCTCCTGCTCGCCTTCTGTTGTGTGCTGCTGGAGAGAGCGGCGGGTTGGGGGAGGGGGTTTTGAAAGGAGAAATGCGCAAGGGTAGGGGAGCAGCACAGGCGCAAGACTCTGCAGTCTCACGAGTCTTGCTGCGGAGACAGTCACGAGTCTTCAGACGCGCGAAAATCATCCCCTTAACAGAATTGTCCGCACTTTTATCCGCACTTTTATCCCCTTGTGTACAGAATGCTGGCTGCACAAGTAGAAAGTATGGATTCAGCAGCCTACATGTTTAGGTACAGTGTTCGATTAGCCTGGAGAAGCAGGGAGCAGCGGGGAGCAGCGGGGAGCAGCGGGGAGCAGCGGGGAGCAGTGGGGAGCAGCGGGGAGCAGTGGGGAGCAGCGGGGAGCAGTGGGGAGCAGCGGGGAGCAGCAAGGATCGAGCAGAGCATGCCCACTGTCAAAGAGAGAGCTCTGATTATTTCTTCGTCCGTGATTACATCTCACGTGGTGGCTTGCAGTGGCCCGTAGAGCTGGTCTGGCCTCCAAGCCTCACTCATCTTAAGTCTCGCTCAGTGAGACTGCAGGAACCACCCTCCGGATTGCATTTTAGCCTTTAATCTTTTTGCTTTGTACGCTCTCTTGGTTGCTGTTCCCGGCCTGGCCAGAAATTCCGCCAAGCATTTCACCTGAGACGCACATCCTCCTCGATTCCATCCTTTCTTCTCATCTCATCTCATCTGACCATTTCGCCGAGCACCCTTCTCCACCTCCCTACTGTGTAGAGCATGGCAGTGGGTTGGTGCATTCCAAATCCTCTTCTGCCAAGCTATTCTGCTCCTAGGAGGCCAGGCCAGGGCATACCGTACCACTTTTGAGTCGGACAAGATGTGACAGGCTTGATACAGAGAGAACATCAACATCAGAGATGGCAACGAGAGAAACTCGCAAGCACAACTGCATGGGGTAAATACTTCGCTTGCACTCCACCTTCGCTTGCACTCCGCCTTCGCTTGCACTCCACCTTTGCTTGCACTGGTGCTTTAATTATTTGCACAGCCCATCTGTCACGATTTTAAAGCCCGCGTCTAGAATGGCAAGGGTTCATAAATACTGAACTTGAAAAGGGTTGTGCGAAGGTTGACGAGAAAAAAATGCGCCGGGAAAGGCGGCGAAGGAGGAATGCTCTACACCGTATCGCAACCTCAATTTCGACTTCCGGAAACTTGAACAAGCACTGACAACAAAACCAAACGCAACAACCCCCACGCGGCTCACAACCCAGATTATTGCCAAGTCCGCAAGCGCACCCTTGGAGCAGGCTGAGAAGTGCGCGCAAGTCCAGATAGTTAGAGCATCTGTGTTAGGAAACTAGTAAGTATCCAGAGTAATATAGTTAGGTATATCCTGTGAAAACATATGCTATTATGCCGGAATCGAGAGGAATCCGTGGACCGAGGGAGGGAATGTGGCGCGAATGCGAGTGTGAAGCACGGAGATATAGCGTCACGAGATGAGAAATTAGAGCGTCGTCGACCTCGCTTCCCCCGTCCGTCGATCTCTTGCATCCGCCGTCCGTCGCCACAGTCCCTCGCCCATCGCCCTTGCTTCCCCCGCCCATCGCCCTCGCTTCCCCCGCCCATCGCCCTCGCTTTCTCCGCCCATCGCGCTCGCTTCCCCCGCCCATCGCCCTCGCTTTCCCCTCCCGTCGCCCTCGCTTTCCCCTCCCGTCGACCTACCATCCCCCTCCCGTCCCCCTCCCATCCCCCTCCCGTCCCCCTCCCATCCCCCTCCCGTCCCCCTCCCATCCCCCTCCCGTCCCCCTCCCATCCCCCTCCCGTCCCCCTCCCATCGCCCTCCCATCGCCCTCCCATCGCCCTCCCATCCCCCTCCCATCACCCTCTCATCGCCCTCCCATCGCCCTCTCATCCCCCTCCCATCGCCCTCCCATCCCCCCTCCCATCCCCCTCCCATCCCCCTCCCATCCCCCTCCCATCCGCCTCCCATCCCCCTCCCATCCCCCTCCCATCCCCCTCCCATCCCCCTCCCATCCCCCTCCCATCCCCCTCCCATCCCCCTCCCATCCCCCTCCCATCCCCCTCCCGTCCCCATCTCATCCCCCTCCCATCCCCCTCTGATCCCCCTCCCATCCCCCTCCCATCCCCCTCCCATCCTCCTCCCATCCCCCTCCCACCCCCCTCCCATCCCCCTCTCATCCCCCTCCCATCCCCCTCCCATCCCCCTCCCGTCCCCATCTCGTCCCCCTCCCCTCCCCCTCTGATCCCCCTCCCGTCCCCATCCCATCCCCCTCCCATCCCCCTCCCATCGCCCTCTCATCCCCCTCCCATCGCCCTCCCATACCCCTCCCATCCCCCTCCCGTCGCCCTCCCATCCCCCTCCCATGCAGGAGAATAACTCTTCCTCCCTCCCTTCCTCCCTTCCTACTAGCCTCCCAGCGCAACTGACTCCCTTTCACCTCTCCCTTCATTCTGCTCACCTTTCCATCCTTATTTACCCGGGTCACTCTGTTTCCCCTGTTCATTCTCTGAGCCCCCTGCTCATTCTTTTCCCCCCTGTTCATTCTCTGAACCCCCTGCTCATTCTCTTCCCCGCTGCTCGCTCTGTTCCCCCTTTCACTCACCCCCATCTCCAACCACGCAGTGTACAGGTCCCAGGATCCCAGCAACACAGGCCAAGGTTGGATGCTGTGTAGCAAACAAGAAGGGGAAAAAAACATTACGTTTTCTAGCTGTCTTCTTTGTGTCGAAAATCAATCGTGAACTTTGTTGCACTTTTTTGTAGTGGTCATGTGCATGGCTGCTCCCCGGCTCAAAGTTTGTATTATAACAAAGCATCCAACATCCAAAAATTGCATGGCGGGTCATTATAGTACTTTCAAACTGCCAGCCAACACATCACCACAGCACCAATACTGATACATAGCGGACCTGTACAAACACAAACCAGGAAATACGGTAAGATGTGAGATTGCTGAGCACTAGGGATTGTTTTGAGACGTCTCAAAAAACAAGATACCGACGAAGGACAAGTAGTTTGGAAGAGACGGGAGGAAACGATCACGCAAGGCCTCTCGATCTATGATTACAGTAGAAGCTGAGCAGAAGAAGGGATGAAAATAGAAAGGGTGGAAAAGAGGAAGAGAGGAACAGGACAACACCCACCAGCACTGCACCCACCCTAAGCAGAGGACAGAGTGAGTGAGTATAGAGTGAGCAGTATGTGTGAGTGAGCAGGGTTAGGAGAGGGGCTGAGAAGGGAAGGAGGAGAGGGGCTGAGAGGGAAAGGAGGAGCGAGGTTGAGAGGGAAAGGAGGAGAGGGGCTGAGAGGGGAAGGAGGAGAGAGGGAAAGGATGAGAGGGGCTGAGAGGGGAAGGAGGAGAGGGGTTGAGAGGAAAGGAGGAGAGGGTTGAGAGGAAAGGAGGAGAGCTGAGGGGAAAGGAGGAGAGGGGCTGAGAGAGAAAGGAGGAGAGGGGCTGAGAGGGAGGGGGGGGGGGGGCTGAGAGGGGGAAGGGAGGAAATGAGAAGGAATGGAAAATGCGGGGATTGGAGGGAAGAGAGGGTTCAGTGAGAGAAGGGAGGGAAGGGAGGAGGATGTTGTCAGAATCCCAGTCACTAACCACTGGGATAAAAGGGCTTGTTTGTGTAGCGGGTGAGTGCGCTCATAACCCCCCAGGCCGACGTGCCTGTAACCCTTCCCTAGGATCAATCGGGGATCACCAGTGGACCTCTGACACCCCCCCGCACTGGGATGCCCGAGGTGCACACACCGGGATTCGAACCCGAGACCTTCGCTCTGATACCATGTCAGAATCCCAGTCACTAACCACTGGGATAAAAGGGCTTGTTTGTGTAGCGGGTGAGTGCGCCCATAACCCCCCAGGCCGACGTGCCTGTAACCCTTCCCTAGGATCAATCGGGGATCACCAGTGGACCTCTGACAGATGTGTGCGGGGATAAGGGCGAGAAGCGACAGGAGGGTAGGGGCAGAGGGAGAGAGAGGAAGGGAGACGAGAGGGAAGGGAGACGAGAGGTAAGGGAGGAGTGGGAGGGGGAACCGACGGGGGAAAAAGGGAAGTGAGACGGAGGGAAGGGAGACATGGGAGAGGGATGGGAGGAGAGGAGCGGTGAACGAAGGAAGGCGTGCGGCTGAGAGTGAGGGAAGAGGGACGGAGGGCGTGGGAAGGGAATGGGAGACTCAAAGGGAAAGTGAGGCATAGATGGAAGGGAGCGAGCGGGGGGTTTGAGTGAGCGGTGGGTGGGTGCGAGTGAGCGATGGGTGTAAGTGAGCAATATGAAGGGGAAACTGTTCGAAGGGAAGGGGGGAACCTGCGCGTAGGGAAGGGAAGCTAAGGGAAGAGAGCGACGTGGGCGACGGACGCGACGTGGGCGACGGGCGCGACGTGGGCGACGGGCGCGACGTGGGCGACGGGAGCGACGTGGGCGACGGGAGCGACGCTGGGCGACGGGAGCAACGTGGGCGACGGGAGCGACGTGGGCGACGGGCGCGTCGTGGGCGACGGGCGCGTCGTGGGCGACGGGAGCGACGTGGGCGACGGGAGCGACGTGGGCAACGGGCGCGACATGGGCGACGGGAGCGACGTGGGCGACGGGAGCGACGTAGGCGACGGGAGTGACGTGGGCGACGGGAGCGACGGTGGGCGACGGGAGCGACGTGGGCGACGGGAGCGACGTGGGCGATGGGAGGGACAGGAGGGACGGGAGCGACGGGAAGAGGGACGGGAGTGGGATGAGGGGCGGGAGGGACGAGAGGAGCGGGAGCGACGGGAGGAAGCAGCGCGGAGAAAAGGGCCGAAGCGCGAACGAAGGGAGCAAGGGCGAACGAGCGTGAGGGAGGGAAGAGCGTGAGTGAGCTACAAGCGAGTGATTGACGGGAGTGAAATGAACGACGGGCGTGAGTGAGCTGCGAGCGTCCGTGACGATCTAAGGAAGCGAGGGCGACGGGCGGGGGCAAAGCAAGTGACAATCTAAGGAAGCGAGGGCGACAGCGACGAGAGCGACAAGGGCGACGAGAGCCATCGGCGGGACGTTACGTGTGTGACGGGGACGAGAGAGTCTGAATGGACGGGATTGAGTGTGCTGGGAGACAACCACAATATTCTACGCTGTGGAGCCTCCTAGGTATCGAGTCTATTATGGTGAGTTTTGGCTTCAAGTTTCCGGAAGTATGAACAGTGACCCGTTTGAGGCGAAAGTGTTGATCATTTTGCCAGGGTTGATTTCAACCAATCAGAAACACTTCATTCGAACCAAACCCCGTGGGTCGCGAGGGTGTGGAAGTCCCAAACCGGGTTACCTGGTTTTTTGCGATTTCTACTTCAAGAATCTTGAACTTGAACTCTAACCATTCTAGACTCGGGCTTTAAAGTGTGAACCAACTCCACTAAGCAGCCAGATTCCGCTAGAGTAGTTAGCCACTACTATTCGCGTATAAGGTGCATCTTCCATCTAAACAAAGCAACTAGCATGTATTTAAGTGCTTTACCAGTGTACTTGCATACAAGACTGCTAAGGCGCTTTGCTTTGCGCTTTGCTAGCAGATACTAAAAACCTGGAGCCAGACTAACTAGTAACCATTCTTCATTGCACGGAGGCTAAACAACTCAAAGCTAAGCACAACAGTTGGTTAGTGCAACAGCGGGCCTCGCCTCTTGACAGCTTGGTCCACATGCAGAGCATCTGGCGTGGCGACTGGTAGTGGTTTTCACTACAGTATAACCATAAGTACCATTTTCAATGTGGTCAGAGTAACTAGGTACAGCAGCGGGCCTCCCCTCGGGACAGCTTGGTCCACATGCAGAGCATCTGGCGCGGCGACTGGTAGTGCGCGGTGAGGTAGTCGTCCATGCAGCCGAACTGGCAGAAGCGCCAGTTGTGGATGTAGTGGATGGTGTTGTTGATGCCGTACTGCACCACCCACATGCCCATGCTCACGTCCTCCATCTTGAATATCTGATGGGGGGGGGAGGAGGGGGAGGGGGAGGTGGGGAGGGGAAGAGGGAGAGGAGGGAGTAGAGCAGCGGATTTATGTGTGCACCCACCCACATGCCCATGCTCATGTCCTCCATCTTGAATAACATCCAGCACCACCCACTTTGAATATACAATGGGGGGGAGGGGGCGAGGATGCGAGGTTTGTGAGAGTAGAGGGGGAAGAAGGGAAGAGTGTGTGCTCATGCTCAGGACCTCTCTTTGGAAGGTTTGCAGCACAGGGCAGGGAGAAGGGAGTACATGGAGGAATATGCATGAGGGAGTGGATGCACGAGGGAGTGGATGCACGAGGGAGTGGATGCACGAGGGAGTGGATGCACGAACGAGATGCAGATTCAAGTGCGATGGGGGAGACACCAAGCCACAAGAGGCATAACCAGGAGTGGATCAGCTGAGGAGAGTAGTCGACGCATGAGGTTGGGGGAGCCATTTCAGCTTAAACCCCATGACCACTCAAACCATTTCAGCTTAAACCCCGTGACCACTCAAACCATTTCAGCTTAAACCCCGTGACCACTCAACCCAACCTGAGCATCTTTGTACCCCTTCATTCTACGTGGGGGGTATGGTACATGCACACTATGCATCCCACCCGCACCACCAATCTGCACGCAGCCTTAGCATCTTGCAACCTCTCAAACCCATCCTCACCACCATTCAACCCACCCACCCCATCTCAACCACTCTGCACCCACCCGGAGCATCTTGTACTCCTTCATGCGCACGATGAAGCTGGCAATGTCCCGCGTGATGATGTACCCCGGCCCGTTGGCATACGGTGGGTAGTTGGTCTCCGGCCACTCCTGGCAATTGGGCCAGGGGGATGGGCGGCATGGTGCAGTCATGGCAAGGGGATCGGGGCAGGGATGGGGTGGGGGATGGGGTGACTACTCAGTGGACTCCAGTGTCCCCTGTGATGATGTACCCTGGCCCGTTGGCATACGGTGGGCAGTTGGTCTCCAGCCACTCCTGGCAATTGGGCCAGGGGGATGGGCGGCATGGTGTAGTCATGGCAAGGGGATCGGGGCAGGGATGGGGTGGGGGATGGGGTGACTACTCAGTAGTGTCCCCTGTGATGATGTAACCCTGGCCCGTTGGCATACGGTGGGCAGTTGGTCTCCAGCCACTCCTGGCAATTGGGCCAGGGGGATGGGCGGCATGGTGTAGTCATGGCAAGGGGATCGGGGCAGGGATGGGGTGGGGGATGGGGTGACTACTCAGTAGTGTCCCCTGTGATGATGTAACCCTGGCCCGTTGGCATACGGTGGGCAGTTGGTCTCCAGCCACTCCTGGCAATTGGGCCAGGGGGATGGGCGGCATGGTGTAGTCATGGCAAGGGGATCGGGGCAGGGATGGGGTGGGGGATGGGGTGACTACTCAGTAGTGTCCCCTGTGATGATGTAACCCTGGCCCGTTGGCATACGGTGGGCAGTTGGTCTCCAGCCACTCGTGGTGGGTGAGGGGATGGGAGCAGGGATGGGCGGCAGGGATGGGCGGCAGGGATAGGCGGCAGGGGACAAGCAGTGGAAGGGGATGGGAGCTGGGACGACGGACGGCAGGGATGGGTTAACTTTGAGTCGGTCCCGTTGGCATATGGGTAGTTGGTCTCCGGCCACTCCTGGTGGGAAGGGCACGGGATGGGCGGCACGGGGCAGGGATGGCATGAGATCACTGGCATGGCATGATGGCATGGCATGTCATGATGGCATGGCATGTCCTGATTGCATGGGATGGCATATACAGTCCACTCATGTTCTCAGAAATGGCCCATTGCTTTTTCCCACCCGCTCCTTGGTTCGCCTCTCCATCTCTCAATGCAGTCGTTGCAGTTCCCCTCACGTCTTCCTCCCCTGAACTCTTCCTCCCGTCACCTCTTCCAAAGCGGCGCACTTGCCCTCTCAAGTTGAGTGGCTTGTGGAGCGCGTGAATGTTGCCCATGCACTGCCCATTTGCCCTCTCTGAGCGGCTTGTGGAACTCATTAGTGTGGCCTATGTACAGCCCGCTGGCATCGTTGATGTTGCTCACAGGGTTCACCCTTCCTCTCCTCTCTCCCAACCCTCCCACCCCTCACCTCTTCTGAGACGGCCCATTTGCCCTCCCTGAGCGGCTTGAGGAACTCGTTGATGTTGCCCATGTACAGCCCGCTGGCATGGTTGCTCCCTCTCTCCCTCACTCACACCCCACCCTCCCCTCACCTCTTCAGACACGGCCCATTTGCCTTCACGCAACGGCTTGTGGAACTCGTTGATGTTGCCCATGTACAGCCCACTCGCGTGGTTGGCGAATCGGATCTCGTCAAACACGGCGTCCAGCCGCACAAAGTTGTCGTCGTCCACCTTCATTATGTAGTTGGTTGATACGTTGCGCAGCTGTCAAGCGAGGGTGGGGGGGGGGGGGGAGGGGGGAAGCAAGTGAGTAAAGGAGGGGCCGACTTGGGCAATCCTCAGTCATCACAGGAGAGTTGCCGTCGTCCACCTTCATTATGTTGTTGGTGGACGCGTGGCGCAGCTGCACAAGGGGGTTGGGGGGGGAAGAGGGGAGGGGATGAGAAGGAGGGATGGGAGGATGTGGGGATAGGGGGATAGGGGGATGGGGGGATGGGGGGATGTGGGGATACGGGGATAGGGGGATGGGGGGATGTGAGCCACCTTAAAGGAGAGAGAGACGTGGTCGCCTCGTTAAGGAGGGAGGGACGGATGGACGGACGGACGGAGGGAGGGAGGGAGGGAGGGAGGGAGGGAGGGAGGGAGGGAGGGAGGGAGGGAGGGAGGGAGGGAGGGAGGGAGGGAGGGAGGGAGGGAGGGAGGGAGGGAGGGAGGGAGGGAGGGAGGGAGGGAGGGAGTCTTATGAGTTGAGGTTGTCACGGGGGGGTGATGAGAGGAGGTTGGGAGGGAAGGATGGAGAGTCGGTGCGAGGAATAGCACGAGGAGAGAAGAGGATATAACAATGCGTGAAACCCCAGGCAGCACACACCTCGAATTCGCAGATGGCGACGGTTTTGAGGAGAGAAGGGGTGCATCAACCTGGGCAACACTGACTCCACACGCGCTTGAAGCACTGCTCACCCCAGGTGGTACTCGCAGATGGCGATGGTCTTGAGCACCATCAGGTGGTAGCGGTCGACCAAGGGCAGCACCACCATGTATCCGTACAAAGAGGAGAGGAGGGGGTGGTATGGGGCAATGCCGAAAGGAGGGAAACCCAGGCAGCATGCTGAGAGGAGAGGACGGTCACTCACCCCGTACTCGCAGATGGCGATGGTCTCGAGCACCACGAGGTCTTAGCGGTCGACCAAGGGCAGCACCACCATGTATCCGTACAAAGAGGAGAGGAGGGGGTGGTATGGGGCAATGCCGAAAGGAAGGAAACCCAGGCAGCATGCTGAGAGGAGAGGACGGTCACTCACCCCGTACTCGCAGATGGCGATGGTCTCGAGCACCACGAGGTCTTAGCGGTCGACCAAGGGCAGCACCACCATGTATCCGTACAAAGAGGAGAGGAGGGGGTGGTATGGGGCAATGCCGAAAGGAAGGAAACCCAGGCAGCATGCTGAGAGGAGAGGACGGTCACTCACCCCGTACTCGCAGATGGCGATGGTCTTGAGCACCACGAGGTCATAACGGTCAACAAACGGCAGCACAACCATGTCGCCGTACAAAGCGGCCTCCTTGTGCACCTCCACGTTCACCTGGATGCTGGGGTGCTGTGATTGGGGAGGATAGAGAGGGGGATTCAGGTGCATGGTGGGAATGAGGTGCATGGTGGGAATGAGGTGCATGGTGGGAATGAGGTGCATGGTGGGAATGAGGTGCACGGGCCGCAGCATCTACAGGCTTGCGAGAGTAGCATGCATCATGGGTTGCTTCAACCCTCTAGCAGGAGAGACAAGGGCAAAGAAACACGCGGGGGCAGGCAGCCACTCACCAGAGCAAGGAAGAATCGCGCCACCACCTCCCCGCTGCGAATCTGCGGGTGCTGCAGCCACGTCTTGCGCACAGCTGTCCGCTCGGCAAAGTGGTTGGTGGCCGACAGGATCCCAATGAACATGCTCACGTTGGCGTCTCTCCTCACAACGGGCGCCTTGAGGGACTCGCTGGCCTCCAGGTCCGCCGTGCGGAGCGGAGGGGAGAGCGGCAGCGACGTGGCGACAAATGACTTGAGATGGATGGCCCCGCTGATGGCCACTGCTGTCGCCTCCTCTAGCGGGTTGCCCTGAAAGTGGGAGTGAGGGCACGGGAGGAAAATGGGGAGGGTGTGAGGAAGGGTGTGAGGAAGGGTGTGAGGAAGGGTGTGAGGAAGGGTGTGAGGAAGGGTGTGAGGCGGACGGTGCTGCTGATGGCGACTGCTGTGGCTGCCTCTAGCGGGCTGCCCTGCGATTGGGGGGAGGCAAAGCAGAACAAACATACGGGAGAGGAGTGTGATGCCAATGGTGGGTGATGGGAGGTAAACGGGTGAGGGTGAGGCGGATGGTGCCGTGCTGGTGATTGCCAATGTGCACCCGACCATGTCCCACCACTGCCCACCGCATTCCAGGCATGGTGCAGAGACCACATGGCCTGACCAGCATAAAGCGCCTCACGCCACTCACCGAGCGGCAGCAATAAGGGGAAGGACGCCACGAGGGTGGTTGCCGTCGACAAAGACATGGCGGAAGCCCGCCAACCAGCCCTTACAACAATTAGGTAGCCCATTCATCACACTCTTACACCCATGTAGCAGCGCACTAGTCAGTAAGGAAAGGAGGGAGGCAACTCACAGAGCGGTACTGGAAGGAGGCCACGTGGTTGCCATCCACCGACACATGGAAGCCCTCCCAGCCAGCCCTCACGACAAGCACAAAGAGACGATCCTCGTGGAAGGGGAAGGGCCACTCCTCCGTCACCTCCTTGTCCGCCTGCTTCATCACCTGCCAGAAGGTGCAGAAGGTGCGGAGCGGTGCAGAGGGGTGCAGAGAGGTGGAGTGGGGTGAAAAGGGATGTACAAGGCATTGGCGGGAAGCCATTCCCCTGTTACCTTTGTGGCCGCCTGCTTCATCGGCATCTGGGAGGGAATAGAGAGGTGCAGAGGAGTGCATGGGAGTGGATTGTGGTGCACGTGCACACCAGCTGACGCCACTCTCACATGCCGTAGCCACCCAGACAGCTTCTGTGTGTCATTCAGCTGCTTCCACCTTGCCTGCCACCTTGCCTGCCACCTTGCCTGCCACCTTGCCTGCCAGACACGCCCCTCTCACCTGCCGGTGCCACCCCAACAGCTCCTCCGTGTCCATGTGCATGACACCTTGCTATCTGCGTGTCCATGTGCAACCTTGCCATCTGCGTGTCCATGTGCATGACACCTTGCCATCTGCGTGTCCATGTGCATGACACCTTGCTATCTGCGTGTCCATGTGCATGACACCTTGCTATCTGCGTGTCCATGTGCATGACACCTTGCTATCTGCGTGTCCATGTGCATGACACCTTGCCATCTGCGTGTCCATGTGCATGACACCTTGCCATCTGCGCCATGCATGGCCTTCCCACAAACCGCCCTCGCTGCACCTTGCACCACTCTCACCTGTCGCTGCACCTTGCACCACTCTCACCTGTCGCTGCCCGCCGACAGCTTCTCCGTGTCCAGATGCGTGGTGCCATCCGTGCCACCCTCACATACCACCCTCATGCACCTTGCGTCACACACGCACGCACGCACGCACGCACGCACGCACGCACGCACGCACGCACGCACGCACGCACGCACGCACGCACGCTCGCACCCTCTCACGCACGCACGCACGCACGCACGCACGCACGCACGCACGCACGCACGCACGCACGCACACACACACACACACACAAGCACGCCTCTCACCTGTCGCTGCCACCCTGACAGCTTCTCCGTGTCCAGGTGGGTGGCATCTGCGCCATCAGCACCATCCATGCGCTCCTGGTCCTCCTCTGTACGCGCCCTCTCCCGCGACCACTTCTCACACCGCCTCTGCCCGTCCACTGAGGGAGGGGGGGAAGAGCAAAGCGGAGACGAGAGGGAGGAGAGTGAAGAGGGAGGCGCACGGTGGAGGGGTGTAATGCATGGGAGCATAGCAGAGGGAGAGGGGAGGGAAAGAGTGCTTTGTAGTGGATAGGAGGCAAGGCATGGAACACTCTACTTCGTACCTCACCCCTCACACCGGGCAGAGCAGACCCAACCCCAGACACTGAAGAGCAGTCACAGCCAACCCACAGAAGAATCACCCCGCCCTCCCCTGCCCCCACCTCTCTCCCCACGCCACGCACCTCGCTCCTCATGGTATGTGGAGGCAAACCCCTCAGGGCCATTCACCTCTCACTCTCTCACTTACTCATCCCCCCTACCATCCCCCCTACCATCCCCCTACCCCCACATCACTCCCACGCCAGGCACCTCGCTCCTCGTGGTATGTGGAGGCAAACCCCTCGCACCGCACGGACTCGCCCCACTGCCCGCGGTAGCACGTGTTCTGCTCGATCACTCGCACGACCGCGCTGCCCGCACTGCCTCCACTGCCGCTGCTGACCCCACTGCCTGCCACAACACTGCTCATTCCGCTGCTACTGCTGCTGCTGCTGCTGCTGTTGCCCCGTAGGTGCGCGTGCAGGTGGTATATGCGGGTGGCCTCCTCGCCCTTCACCACCACCAGGCCCTGGAGCAGGGAATTGGGGGATTGAAGAGGTAAAATTGGAGGTTGGAGAGGGGACGTGGAAGAGAATGCATGGGAAAGGGTTAGGGAGGGACGCTGGCGCTGCCAATGCAGCTGCTGTCGCCTCTCAGGTGTGCGTACAGGTGGTAGATTCGGGTTGACTCCTCGCCCTTCACCACCACCAGGCCCTGACGAATGGGATTGGGGTGGGGAGATGGAGAAGGGGAGTGGGGGGAAGGAGAAGGGGAGTGGGGGAAGGAGAAGGGGAGTGGGGGGAAGGTGAACCGCAGTGGGGAGAGGGGAGACGTGGAAGAAAGAGCATGCAGGAGGGTGAAGGCGGGATGCTGCTGCTGCACGTGCTTCCGCCCCATTACAGGGGTGAGAGCAGGTAAGGATAAAGGGAGAAGGTGCTGTGGATGCTTGTCGTTCCCTCCCTATGCCACAACACCAGTCCCTTTGGGGGAAACAGGGGATAGAGGGGACAAAGAGGGGGAGAGGAGGGGAAGAGGGGGAGAAGGAGGAAAGAGGGGGTATAGAGGGGAGATTGAGTGGGGAGAGGGGGTGACGAGGGGGGTTAAGAGGGGAGATGGAAGGGGGATAGTGGAGAGAACAAGCGGGGATTGAGGGAGTTAGACGGGCGGATTAAAGGGGGGGGGAATGGGTAGCTGGGGGGGAGACAATGGACACGCACGGGACAGAGGGGTCATAGATGGGGGATAGAGGGTGGGAAAATGGGGGATATGGGAGGGATAGAGGGGGGATAGAGGGGTGTTAGAGGAGGGATAGAGGGGGGATAGTGGGGTGTTAGAGGAGGGATAGAGGGGGGATAGAGGGGTGTTAGAGGAGGGATAGAGGGGAGATAGCGGAGGGTTAGAGGAGGAATAAAGGGGAATAGACAAGGAATCGAAAGGGGAGATGGGTGATGGACGGGGGATAGAGGGCAGATAGAACTCTATCACTAATGCCAAGCCTACCGTATTCCCCAATCCCAACCAGGAAAATGTCACTCCCTCTAGCTTTGCGTCTCTATTCACCACCACCGCTCCCTCGCACTCACCAGTATTTCCAGCATAAACGACAGAGCAGACCCTTCACTACTGTTCCCCATCCCCCCTGCCGCAACCTCCCCCGCGCCTGTCCCCCCTTGCCCCAGAGCCGCCTCCCCACGCCCCGCTTCCGCAGGCGCGGACGGGACCATGCCCACTACCGTGATCGCGGATCCCACGCGCATCCCGCAGGGCAACTTAATATCCCCGCTTTTGAGTTCCTCATCCCCCTCCGTTAGCACTATAGCTCTCTGGCACGCCTTGACAGCATCCGCGCCGTCCGCGCGCGGGTCCTTCTTCCCCTCGCGCTCCAACGTCTCTAATCTCTCCAACTCCGCGTTCATCTCCCGAAGCGCCATCTGCCCCGCCTGAAGCGCCTCTTCCGCCGACTTCTCCAGTACCGACCGCCGGCTAAAAGGTCCCATCCGCTTCTTCTTCTTAACGGCCGGCAAGTTAACCGGTAGAGGCTTCTGCCGGCTCTCCACCTTCTCCCCCGACACCTCCTCCGGCTGCTTCACCTCCTCCGCGCGCCGCGCGCCCGCTCCCGCTCCGCCAACCCCTCCGCCAACCCCTCCCCCGTCTCCTCCGCCTCCCCCGCCTGCGCCGTCCGCGGAAGCGTCGCGCAACCCCGCGGCGGCCTTGCGCTGGCGGTCAGAGCCCCACGTGTTGCGCGTGAAGGTGGCGCGCAGGCGGTCCATGACGAAGCGGCGCTTGCCCGTGTTGGTATCCGCCACCGTCAGCACGTCCATCTGCCGGTCCGCCTCGTGCTTGAGCTTCTCGTCCGACGATTCTGGACTCCAGGGGCTGGTGGAGGGTTGTTGGGGGGAGCGGCACATGGGGAGGCATAGGATGGTGAGGAGGGGGGAGAGAGACTCAGCAGTGGTAGGGGGTTGGCGTGAGTGTCGCGTCCGCGACCGTCAACATATCCATCTGCCGGTCCGCCTCGTGATTGAGCTTCTCGTCCAAGGGCTGGTGGGGGGTAACATGGGGAGGACACGATGAGAAAGGAGAGTCTTTTAAGGCGCCAAAAAAAAAGTCCGTGGATTCCGGGCTCCAGGGACTTCTGAGTCGACTCAAAAGTTGGGCTCCAGGGAATAGCTTTTGGGGAAGACATGGGGACGCACGGCACGCTGAGAGAGGAATGAGCAGACGAAGCGGGTTGGTTTGAGTGTGCTCGCGTGTACGCGTCGTCGTGCCTGACCTTGATCGCATTCGCTGCATGTCGGCTCCAGACACTGCCGGTTGCGACGACTGCCGGTTGCGACGACTGCCGGTTGCGACGACTGCCGGTTGCGACGACTGCCGCGGTGTATAAGCGACGCGTCGTCGCATCATGGTCAAGCCGGCGGCCGTTCGTTCAGTTATCGAGGACATAGCCCACTTAACTGTACTATGATTACGTTACGTCAATGCGTTACGTTACCCACTCGATGGTGCGAGTAGCTCTTTGGAAGCAATGCGTTACGTGAACTCCCCCCCATCCGCTCACCCGCCAACTCGCTCACGCGCTCACCTCTCGAGCAGTCCTTTCGGCGCGACGAAGACTATCAGCATGAAGACACCAGCGGCGACGGCTAGCAGGCGGGCGAGCCGTCGCTGCGTCAGCGCGCCGGCAAACATGCCGGCGCCGGGCTTACTCCGCTCGCGGAAGTCGTCGCGGTGGTGGTGGTGATGGTGGTGGAACGTTGTCGGCACCGCCGCCTTCCACGCCGTCACTGCTGCTCGCGGTCTTCCTGGCGGCGCTCCCAGCGCCGTACTTCTACTCACCGCCATTCAGGTGGGGCTCGGAGCTGCTGTTTTCAAATCGTAAAAGCTCTCCGCTTATAAAAAGGCAAAACGTCGACAATAAATAGAGAGCTCGAGCGGTTAGGCGGTCGGCAAGATTAGCGTTGAATCGAATTCAAGGTTTCGACATAAGTTACAGTTCTGCACTAATCTCATACGACGTGGCAGGACGTGCAGGAATGTCGAAGCGAGGGGGATATTCGGCACTGAAACGGATTCCTGATCGTAGCCAAGATTGTTCTGGCCTGGACTCGTAGCCAAGCTGCCCAATGCCACTAATCGCCGTATTATAGACCTCGAGAGTTGGTAAGCTGAGCTGCTGGGATGAGTTTCAATGAGCGTTGCTCGCGGTGCTGGTTGGTTGTTGCAGCTTGTTTGAGACCGCCAGGGAGAATCTGCCCGCTTTGTAGAGGAGAACTCGAGGGAGGGAGCGTGAGAGCGTGGGCGACAAGGGAACGATGAGGACGAGGCGAGGCGACTCAGGTGAGACGACGAAACGAAAGCACTCCAGCCGCACGCGGCCTCCCATGTGTCGCGTGCACGTTGGTTCTCCGGTCGTCGGCACCTTCACAACAGCTCTCTGGTGAGCGGACGACCCACTCGCGAAGGTGCAACCTGTAGCGAAAGCGTCAGCGCCAGTCGCAACTACAAAGCTCCGAGGTCGAACCGCTCCCGCTTGCGGCGGAGATTTGCGATGGGCTTTGCAATGCAGTCCGTTGACAATCCCGCCAAACATTCTGCCATCACTCCATTATCACAACGCGCGATAAAGGGTAGGTGAGTGATTCTCCACCTTTTTTCACAATACCGTACGCAATATCTGTAATTACACATTCTGAAATATATAGTACAGTTACCGATTAAAGCTCCAGTATACAATTGTCAGCACAGTTTAGGGTTTTATAGTGTACCTAAGGATTTTAGTTTGTATGGACAATTTTTAGGCACAGCTGCGATATTGCTTTTCCACTCACTCGTAAGAACCCATAATAGCCTTCGTGAATTGTAGTTGCTCAAGTGTGCAGATCGCAACACTCAAAGCACGCGATTTCCTCCGCTAGGCATCTGCAGCTGGTTTTGGTGAGCTCGCAATGGCGGGTCGCGAGGGCTCGTCGTCGGCGGATTGGATGGCGCGTCTCGAGCGCGCCTTGCGCTCCCCGCAGCCCGGTGGGTCGCCGCTGAAACCACCACGCGAAGCACGAGTAACGCGCGCAGCACGAGTAACCACCACGCACAGCACCTGTAACCACCACGCACAGCACCTGTAACCACCACGCACAGCACCTGTAACCACCACGCACAGCACGTGTTACCAGCGTAACCTGAATGCATCCCATCTCAGTTTAAGCAATGAAACTCGCGCGTGGGTGTCCGTTGATCCCTACCTGCTATGCCCCGCTTCCGCGCCGCTTCCGTCGAGGCTGCGTCTAGTTCGCATCCCCCAACCCGCATTCCCACTCCGTATTCCCCCCCCTCCGCATTCCCCCCACGCCGCATTCCCCCCACGCCTCATCCCCCCCACGCCGCGTTCCCCCCACGCCGCATTTCCTTCACGCCTCATTCCCCCCACGCACCTTTCCCTACTCGTATCCCGCTCCCTCACCCGCCGTGTCGTCCATCGCATGCTCATCGCTTTATTCCTATCCGTCATGCCCAGCCATACCCCACTACCACGCCATACCCTGCTATACCCCGCCATACCCCGCCATACCCCGCTATATCCCCCCATACCCCCCATAACCCCCATACCCCCCATACCCCGCCATACCCCGCCATACCCCGCCATGCTGTGCCACGCGCCATCGCCTGCCATCATCTCTCTCTGCTGCCATCATCTCTCTCTGCTGCTATCATCTCATCTCTGCTGCCATCATCTCATCTCTGCTGCCATGAAGCTCCAACCCACCTCGCTGCTCAAGTCCGCTCTTCTCCTTTTCGAGAATGCGCGCCTTCCCTTGCCACCGACCGTTTGCTTAAGCCCACATAATTATTCCCCTCTATCTCTCTGCTCCCCCGCTAACCTCGTCTCCATCTCACCTCTAACCCTTTTCCACTCCCTCTTTTTTCCCCACTCTCTCCCCTCTCTTCCTCTCTCCCTTCTCTCTTGTCCCTCTCCTTCCGCCCCTCTCTCATCTCTCTCGCCCCTCTGTCCCCCCCCTCCCCTCACTTCCGCTTTCCGCACCGAACCCCTTTTCCCGCCCTCTCAGCCACCCAGTGCCACGGAATTCTCTCTGCCGGGCCTGCCCTGGTCGAATGGACGCTGGGGCAGCAGCTGGGGAGAGGTGCAGGGGCTGGGAGGAAGAGGAAGAGGGAGAGGGAGAGGGAGAGGGAGAGGGGGGCGCAGAGCACGAGCGGGAGCGGGTGGGAGGAGCAGGGGCAGCGGCAACAAGCCCCTGTGTCAGAGAGTGACGTGGCACGATTCAATTCGCTGGTTCTACGCCTGGCTGATGCCTTCAGCAGCAGCAGCAGTGCCACCCGCCTCTGCATTCTCAAGCTCTTCCTCCTCCACCTCTCCACCGCCACCTCCCCTCCCCCTCCCCCTCCTCCCTCTCCTCCTTCTCCTGCTCCTTTTCCTCCCTCTCCTCCCTCTCCTCCTTCTCCTCCTGCTCCTTTTCCTCCCTCTCCTCCCTCTCCTGCAATTCATCATGCCACGTCAGCTGCACCCGCTGCCCCCTCACTCGCACCTGCCGCCCTGAGAACGCCCCTTGGTGCTGAGAGGTGTGACGTGGATGGTGACGCCATGCCTGACGTTAGCAGCATGCATGACGTCAGCGTGCTTCACTGGCGGTGGAGGAGGGAGGGAGAGCGAGTGAGGGACAGATGGAGGGGAGGGGGAGTGGTCACGAGGGAGGCAGAGAGAGAAAGTGCTGGCGCTGACACTGATGGAAGCAACGGTGCTAGCAGCAGTGCTGACAGTGGTGCTTGCAGTGCGAGTGATGGTGATGGTGATGGTGATGGTGATGGTGATGGTGATGGTGATGGTGATGGTGATGGTGATGGTGATGGTGATGGTGACGGTGACGGTGACGGTGACGGTGATGGTGATGGTGACGGTGATAGTGATGGTTACGACAGTGCTGGCAGTGATGGTGGTGCCAGGGACTGGGCGGGTGTGTTGACTGCTCGGAAGCTCTTGAACCCAACCCAAGTCATCACCCGCATCGCCCCTCTGCTCTCTCGCTCCTCCTCATTCTCACTCCCACCCACCTCAGCAGCAGCAGCAGCAGCAGCCACTGCCCCAGCAGGCACAGCTGCAGCCACTGTCACACCCGGTTCAGGCACAGCTGCAGGCACAGCTGCAGGCACAGTCACACCCGGTTCAGGCACAGTCACAGCCATGCCAAGTGACTGCCCTTCGCCCCCGTCGTCACTTGCTGCTGGCACTGTTGACTCGGTTGACTCCCTTGAATCCCGCTGTCTTGCGCTGCGCCTGATTGGCTGCCTCGCTCCGCTGGCTGCTGACGTGGCACCTGTGCAGGAGTTGGTGGTGCGGGCGGCAATGGAAGCAGAGGGACAGCAGGAGGTGAGCGAGGAGGAGGTGGGGGGGAGGGGTTGGGGGGAGGGGGATAAGTGGGAGTAGGAGATGAGGTGTGGGGTTGAGGGGGAGATGGTGTGTGTAGCTTTGCATGCGTGTGTGTGTGTGTGTGTGTGTGTCTGGTGGGGAAAGGAGGCGAAAGGAGGGGGTGGAATGGGTGGGGGGCGGTTCTGTGGGGGGGCTGCGTGCGCGCATGCTTGCGTGCGTGTTGCCAATGATCTGCTGCCCTTGTGTGGACTTGCCAATGATCTGCTGCCCTTGTGTGGACTTGCCACCCTAGCAGGAAAAGCCTGCACCATTGATCTGCTGCCACCCTAGCAGGAAAAGCCTGCACCATTGATCTGCTGCCACCCTAGCAGGAAAAGCCTGCACCATTGATCTGCTGCTACCCTAGCAGGAAAAACCTGCACCATTCAAACAAACTTGAGCAACCGACTCTTCTCCTCCTTGGCTCTACTTGGTGAAACATTCAGGCCGCAAAACGATGTTGGAGGTGGATGATGGATACAGGCCGAATATGTACCAGCACAAGAATAGCTGGATTGGAGCATGGTCCTTCCTTGCATGTGAAGATGGAGTGTGTCTGCCTTGTTCTGCGGCTCCCCCCCCCCCCCCCCCCCCCCTCCCCCAGCTCGGTCCTTCCTTCTCGCCGCTGCCATTCACCCCTTAGCTCCCCTTGCTGCTAATGTCCTGTGCCATGTCCCCCTTCTCGCCGCTGCCATGTCTCCCTTCTGCCCCTCACTCTCTGCCCCTTCCCACCCCAAGTGCCACGCCTCTCTCTTTGCTCTCACATTCCTCCGGGCTGTCCCTGCCCCCTTCATCCACAACCCCCCGTTTTCCCCACTGTTCCATGTGTCTTTCTCTTCGCTCCCTGTCTCCCTTCTTCCCCTCCTTCCCTCCCTCCTGTTCCTCTTCCCACCCACCACCCCAGCAGCGCCATGCAGCTCTCTTCGCGTTCACCTTCCTCTGCGACGTCTCTCCACCCTTCGCCCTCCACACTCTCCCCCTCCTCCTCTCCCTCGCTCTCCCCGCCTCCCCACCGCCACCCCTGCCCCTCTGCCTCAAACGCCATCTACACCGCTCCCTACACCCACCTCTCCCACACAAAGTCAAGCAGAATCCATCAGAGGGAAGGCTGGAAGAGGAACAAGCACACACAAGGAAAGAACACAGGGGGCAAGCACAGCGGGGCGAGAAGCAGCAGCAGCAGCAGCAGCAGCAGCAGCAGCAGCAGCAGCAGCAGCAGCAGCAGCAGCAGCAGCAGCAGCAGCAGCAGCAGCAGCAGCAGCAGCAGCAGCAG